GATCTTTAAGGTCCCTTCCCACCCAAACCATTCCATGGGAGGGGACTGTGGGCTGGGCTGTTGCTGGGTTGGGGACAGGAGCCCACTGGCCCAGTGTGGTGCCTCCTGGGCCTTCCTCTCCTCTCCTCCTCCTCATCTTCTCTCTAGACTTCAGCTCCACCTGTCCACACATCCACAAAGTGAGGGAGGTTTCCTGGCTCTGAACAAGAAGCCTCCTGTGTGTGTTTGCATCTGTGATCCTCAGAGATAACAATGAGCAGATTCTCATCACTGCTCACAAGCAGATGCTCGAGTTTGGTGTTGCTGTGTCTGCTCCTGCTGGGCTGCTGGAACCACCTCATGGCTGGTGTGTAAATGCCATGGATTTGGTGTCCTGGATGTCACCTCAGACAACCAAAACCCCATCCTGGTACCATCCAACTAAATCTCCTGTTAATTGTGAAGTGTAGCTGAGTTCCAGGAACATCAGGTGGGTTCTAGTTCTCATGGCACCCATGGCTGCCCTTTCTCCTTGTTTCCTGAGCATGTCCAAGCTCATCCTGGCTCAATTCCCAGCCAGGCAGGGCTCTGTGGAGCTCTCCTGCTTGGAGCAATATGGTGCAGAAATCCCTCCTTGGGATCTCTTCTAATTCCTTAATTTTCTCCATCTAACAGTGAGTCTGGCTCTTGCCTGTTGTTAGCTTTGAGTTCCTCAGAGAAGAGATGATTTTTCTCAGCCTGCAGTTTAAAACCCCCCTCCATCTTCACTGGGGCACCTTCTAATTAAGCAAACACAGCACTGAGAAAAAAAAGAGTATTTTGGCTCAGTATTCTCTGAAACTGAACACTCCAATCCACTTAGACCTAGAACATTTGCTCATTTTGGAGTCTGTGGCTTTGGGCTGCCAGTCCAGACAGGCTTGTTTCCCAAACTGATATTTTAACCTGAAATGTTCAGTTTGTTCTGGGTTCTTCATGCAGAGGGAATGTGTTCAGATGGTTGGCTGAGTGTCCACGTGAAGTGGATTTTTCTGGACACAAAGAGCTCTGCTCAGTCTCATTCTGGCCAGTCCTTGTCCCTTTGTCACCTTCAGGGTGGGCAGGGGGTGGGTGTATTTTTAGGTGGCCCTGTTTGGCAGCTGAGCAATGGTTTCTAATTTCTTCTCATCTTCTCCAAGGAACCACACCAAGCTGGGACTGGTGCCTGCTCACTGCCCTCCCAAAGTGCTGTCCCCACCCTGAGCTCTGGGGGACACTTGGGATGTGGTTGTTCAGCTCAGAGCCCCTGGGGTGGAAGGTGCCACGAGGGCTGGGTGTGTCACACTCACTGGCTTTGTCCCTTCTGTGTGTCACCAGGGTTTGTCCCCAGCCCTGGAGGTGGCCAAGGAATGACTGGAGGTGGCACTCAGTGCTCTGGGCTGGGGGACAAGTCACAGGTTGGTCTTGATGATCTCGGAGGGCTTTTCCAACCTGGAGTTCTAAGGGAGCTCCTTCTAGGTTGTTCTCAATGCCCTCAATGATCCCTTTGCTGATGCACCTGTTGCTGCTTCTCTTTTATTCTCTTGATTTCTGGAAGTGTTTAGACTCAGCTCAGGCTCTTCACACAGTACAGGAGGTTTAAACTCTTTAGGAATTACCAGTGTTGGGCTCACAGATGCTGAGCTCACCAGCACAGTGGGACCAGAAAGGAATATTATTTATGGAATAAATAATATTGTTAAATCTCCTTGTTAGTGGAAGGAGAATATGTTGGTCGTTTGTGTGTGGGTTTGTTTTCTAAACAGCTTTAATATCCCTTCAAAAAACTGGCTGAGGATCCACCTGCAGGTCAGGGAAGTTCAGTGTATACAGCAGTAGGAAGTGGCTGAGTTATGCCTCTGTTAAGAATCCCAGAATCACTGAGGTTGGAAAAGCCCTCCAGGATCACCAAGTCCACCCTGTGCCCAATCCCCACCTTGTCCCCCAGCCCAGAGCACTGAGTGGGGGACTCCACCACCTCCCTGGGCAGCCTCTTCCAGTGCCTGACCACCCTTTCCAGGAAGAAATGTCCTCCTGAGGTCCATTTCTATTGAATGGGATTAGTTTTCCATGGGCCAGAGCAAACAGAAGTTGGGGATTTTAACCAATGGGGCTGTGGGGAGCAGCAGAGCTTCTCTGTGCTTCCCTGGCAGCCTCCTTTGGGAAGCCTTTCCTGGTGTGTTACAGCTACTCTGAAGTGAAATATGTTCCAGTCCAGTGAGGAAAAGAGAATTAAATTGTCAGCCAAGGCCTCTGTGCGTGAGTTCCCAGCTTTGGGGGTGTTATTTGGTGGAAGGTTCTAGCAGCTCACCATGGACAATGGTCACTTGGCAGAGATGAACCCCTGGAACCTGGGTGGTTTGCCAAGTTCCTGTTGCTACTGGACCTGCAGAGCAGCTTGGTGGGAGCTCCTGTAACACAAAAACACAAAGTGAAGCAGCAGCAAGGTCTGAAAACAGCAATTCCCTGGTTTTCTTTCCAAAGGAGCCTGGAGCCAGTGACCCAGCTGTATGTCAGTGTGGATGCCAGCACCAGGGAGAGCCTGAGGAGAATCGACAGACCCCTCTTCAAGGACTTCTGGCAGAGGTTTCTGGACAGTTTAAAGGCCTTGGCTGAAAAGGTACCCAGTTAAGAATGTACTTCTAAATAGGTTTTTTTAATTCCTTCTGCACTTTACTTGCACAGGACACCTTTTCTTTCTTCCTTCTCACCTTACTTCTGCTTTCTACAAAAGACTTGAGAGGCTTCAGAGGCTCTCAAGGTGGGCCATGGGGTGGGTTCTGGATGTGCTGGGAGCATATTTGCATGGTTTGTACATTCAGGTGTATAAATTTTAGCAGGTTTGATCCGTTTTCCCTGTGGGGACAAACTCATTAACAAAAGAATGTGGCTGAAATGAGACAGTAAAGTGCTGTGAGAGCTGGAGAGATCATCAAATAATAGATTTCCTGATGAAGGGGTTGCACTGCAAACAGGCTGCTGAAGGAAAGCTGGAAAGCTGGAAATTCAGGGAAGCCTGGGAAGAGTCACAAACCCCCATGTATCACCTTGCTCTGGTTCTCAGAGGTTCCCTTGACCCTGCAGACATGAAATTGTGTGTGCTGGAGTTTGCCAGCTCTGACCACCCCCCTCCTCCGTGGAAATCTGCTTATTTCTGGAAGATTGACCCAAAGCAGGGGTGATTTGTGTCCACCAGAGGCAGCTGAGCAGTGACCTGAAGGCCCATGGGACTGTTTCAGCTCAGAGCTTGGTGTGACATGTTTTGTAGCAATTAATGCCCCATCCTGGGCCCAGCATCATATGAATTGATAACAACAGTGCTTCGTGAGCAAGTCTCCTCCTCTTCTTTCTGGTCCTGTGCTCTGATGGAAGCAAATCCTTGTATTTACCAATTTGGCAGCTGTTGACACGTTCCCTGCTGAGATGAACAGCCAGGAGAGAGGGTTTCCTTTAAATAGTGAGTTTTTCTGCCTTCTGAGATGACAATATTGGGCTATTTTCTGCCAAATCTACTCAGATTAGTAGATCTGGGGGACTCAGCAGGGTTCCAGTTTATTCTGGAAAGTGTGATCAGGTGGATTGTGTGTGAATGTCTGGTCTTAAAATCTCAGGCCAAACTCTTGGGTGTGTTGAAATCAGGTACAAACTGAGTTCTCTGGGAGCAGGGGCGGTGTGGAAACAACAGGAGCTAAAATATTGAAGGCAAAAAAATGTAGAAAAAGCCCTTTGGGGACTTGCTTTTGCTCATCATTTCTTTCCTGCTGCCTCTCTTGACCCTGGATAGATTTGGTTCATTCCTTGCTGGGTGTTGTCAGAAAGTTCCTTGCAAAGGATTGAAGGTGAAAGTATTGGCAGGTCTGTCCATTCAGCTAAAAATACTCTGGCCAAGGTGAAGAGGAGAGGAAAAAGGAGCTCAACTAGCAGGTGCATTTTCTCCTCAGAGCAACTGCACTTTGAAGGGTCCTTGAAACACTGGGAAAACAAGAGCCAATTAATATTTGCTCCAGTTGGGGAAACTGCTCTGCCAGCCCTGCTCAGCTGCACGTGGGGACAGCAAGAGCTCCTGGGGAAGCTGCTGTTTGTTGGGTTTTTCTTCTTAATCACAGAATCCTTTCGGTTGAAAAAGGCCCCCAAAGGTCATCGAGTCCACCCTGTGCCCCATCCCCATCCTGTCCCCCAGCCCAGAGCACTGAGTGCCACCTCCAGTCCTTCCTTGGACACCTCCAGGGGTGGGGACTCCACCCCCTCCCTGGGCAGCCCCT